CCCCAAAACCCCAAAACCCCAAAACCCCAAATACATTGAATAAGGGTGAAATTTAAGAATTAAATCAAATAAAATGAATAAGATGATTACGGGTTCACATAATAGTAGTAAAGTGAACTCCTCAAGTTTGAGAAAAAGTGATAATGACCAGGATTTAGGCAGTTTGCAAAAAAACTAAAGATATAACGCTCCACATAATGATGCTCATGAAATACTTAATGATGAAGAATACAACTTAAGTCCTCATGATTTCTAATAAGATTAAGAGGATCAGGATGAGTACGATATTGAAGAGATGATTAACACAAACAGCCTATCAAACAAAAGGAGGAAAAAATTGAACATTGATCAGTAAAAACTTAATGATAGTCCTAATAAGGCTGAGAGTAGTCTATTCTCATCAGGTCAAAAAGGTAAAATCCCTATAATAAGCCATAAAAATGCAGTAATGTCCAAGACTTACTAGACTAATAAATTATCAGATTAAAACAGCATTAATCCTCAAGGTATAAATCGAAATTATTTTAATATCAGCAACACTCAAAATAATCCATCGAAATAAAAAGATAGGCAGTATAGTCCATCTATAGGTACCAAGCTAACTACAATGGAGAAATAGTACAAACCCTATTACATTAATTCAACTTATAATACTAGGACTTTGTCAAAACAGCATAAAAGGAAGAATAATGTCAATTCAACTCAAGTTTACGAAGATTAACAATCTGGGAAGATATTAATTCAAAGTAAAGTAGTTAGATTTACAGAGAACGGAGTCTCAAAAACAAGCACTAATAGGCATGTTTCCACTTCACATAACAACAAGGCAAAGCAGCTTGATACTATATAAAATTATCCAGTACCTGTGGGCCAGTAAAGCATACCTAATAAAAATGCTGAACAGGCAGTAAACTTATTGCCTGCCTTTGATATCAAGCTACAGAGAGATGCTTCTGCTCCAAAGCAAATAAGTGTAACTGCTGCGATTCCTTAAAAAAGAATAAGGCTATTCAATAAAGTTGTAATGGACTTCCAGGACAAATACTATAGAAAGAAGATTATTCCTAACAAAATATTATCGTCATAGGAGCAGTTATACGATGAGAACATCTAATTAAAGTATAAAATTAACTAGTAAGATTAGTTCATAGTGCTTCAGAAGACCTAAAATAAATTACTTAATAATGAACTAGAGAAGTAGCAGCATCTTCTGAAATAGATTGTTGGTGCTTCCTTGAGACAAGATAATGCAGATGGGAGTAAAGGGCACAATTAGTAGAATGAGATTCTTATCTAAAATCTCAAAAGAGAATTAGATCTTGCTTTGAAAGCTTTAGCGCATAAAGAAAATGATATAAAAATTCTATAAAAGTCCAGTAAAGTAACTAAATTCAAAGAAATTGATGTAAGTGACTTTTCTGTTTAATAATTTATTAGGAAGAGAGAAAGATGTACATCCAGGAGAGCTTCAGACTTCATAAGATAGTTCGAGAATTGATAACTAAAGGCAATGCAACAATTAACATCAATTCTAAAAGAGATAACAGCATTGGAAATGAAAAGGATGTTAATCCTTACATTCAAAATAGTATGCATCCTTGAATAAACAAATTCTTATAGATTAGCTTTAATAAGAGTTTATGGTTAGAATTTAGTAGTATTCAAGTATAATTAACTAGCAATAGAATGACGTCCAAGCCTTAAGCAGAATCAATCATAACTTATCTTAAGAGAATAATGATTTGAAGACTCAAGATAACTAGAGCTAAGATCTAATCAGGTAGCTTACTCAATAGATCTAGGAACTATAGCATCAGAAACATTAGGCAGAGTTACTATTTTTGAGCTAGCAACAGCAGCTAGAGGAAAAAGAGAGAGAATAGCAAATGAATAAACACAATTCTAAATAAAACAGCGTTAGCGAGAAGTCAATCAAGTAGCAGAGTTTGATCTAAACTCTCAATGAAAATCATCAGAGAGAAATTGAGAGATTGCATGATTTGGTGAAGTAAAAGGACATTGAAATAACAGGAAATAAGCAAGAATAGATTGAGAACCAGAGATATTTCGATAATAAGTTACTTTTATTAGAGCAGTAATTGTAGCAGATTCAAGACATCAACAGAAATTAAGCTACTAGAATAATCGAATTGGAAACTTAAATCTTTGGTCTGAATGCAACTATTGAATAGATGAATATTGACAGAGAAGTTCAGAAGTCAATGGCCAGATCAATATCAGAATAGCATTCAATTAAAGACAAGAACAAGACATAGTCAATTATGAAATAAACCTAAGATATAGAAGACCATTATCAAAATGAGTTTAGCAATGACCCTGAAAATCAGCAAGACATCTAAGATGATTATTAAGATGATCAGATTGCAAACGATCACTAATTTTAAAATGAAGATGATGATGCAGACAAAATCAATGACAATTATGAAGATGATGAAGATATCTTTGATATAGATTATTAGAAATAGCGGTAATCATCTTCAATTGTAGAACCTTTAGAAGACACAATTGTCAAGCATGATTATCAAAAGTAAGAGAACCAAATCATTTAAAATAATTCCAGAATCTAAATGACTAATGACGAATTACATGATCCAGATGAGATTGATAGTAAAATTATAGATAATTATGGCACATTAAACAATACTTAGCAAACCTTGCCTAAGGTCCATGATCAAATACCACTAGAGAAAAATGATACTATTCTTCTTTTAGAGGAATACAAGTTAAAAATTGAGGAATTAAATTCAATCCTTAATTAAAGATAAAAAGACATCAATGAATATAATAACAAGCATGATGACTAATTAAATTAAATAACCCATTAGTAGAGCTTAATTGATGACTTATAAGAAAAGATCATTAACTTAGAATGTTAAATTGAAGAATTAAAGATCTCAGAGGAAAAAGAGAGAACTTAGAAAGTTGAGTTGAATAATAAGCTAGCTGACGTAAGTAGCTAGATGATGAATCAGCTTAGAGAAGACATGAGCATTCAGCATAATAGAGAGATCAAGGAAAAGGAAATGATAATTAAGGAGTTACAGTTGTAGTCTGATGAATCAAGGAGAGACCTTGAGTCTCAAGTCAGAGATCTGTTATAGGATAACTAAATTAAAGAAGAATAGCTAATTAATTCAATTAACTCGGAGATAGATATAGTTAAAGCAAAGCTTACCAGATGCTTCTAAATCCTACAGATTAAAGATTAGAAAAAATTGGACAAAATTTTAAACATCAACAGTGAAAATTCAGAATAACCCAGTATAAGTGAAATTTTAAAAGCAAGATTTGATCTTGCTCAAAGAGAGCTCGATGTTTTGTCAGAGAATATTTTGCAGGTAGAGGAATTAGACAGTTTAGATTTAAATGAAATCAGTCAGTTGATGTACTCAATTTTTACAAGAGAAATATTAGTTTACTAGGATGAAGAGAGGCAGGAGGCTTTCAATCATCTTTACCAATAAATTGACAAAGACAATATAGATATTGAATCATTCCTGACAAGGTATAACATCAAAACAGCCATACATTAATCGTAGCTACGAAAAGTACTAGAGCAATACATTGAAAGTGATAAAATGATAAATCTTGTGATTGATCATTTGCTTAACCAAAGCCATAATTACAGCTATGCAAGTGCTGATGTTTTCGAAAGATGTCTAAACAAGTAACTCTATAAACTGCAAACTTAAAGGAGCTTGAGGAAGAATAAGTCTGAAAATACAATTAATAATACTTATAGAGACAATAACAGGAGCAAAACTTACAAGAGTATAGAACATCAGGAAATTAAAGAAGCAATCTTGGAGGAGGAGTACAAGAATGCTGGAGATAAACTTAAGCTTGCTTTAGAAGAACTTTAAGGTAATTCAGATGATAATAATCTGTCGCTGAATGAGGATCTTCTCTAGTTGAATATGGGTGGAGCACTCTTTTCTGAGAGAAGTAGTGTATCTGGAATGTCGATGACTGTGATCCAGCCTAGTTAATAAAAATAGCCAGTCAAGTATTTGAAGAATGTGCAATTACAGTTGATAGCATAAGCTTTGAATTCCAAGTTCATCAATCTAAGGCAACATATAAAGTTTTATCAAACCCCTAGACTAATGGAATTTGGAGGGAGAGAGGTAGAAGTTATTAAATTCGATGATTTAATACAGCTTTTAAACAAAATTAAGGTATTAAGTTATGAAGAAGAAGATGAAGATGAAAATCAGAATTAAGAGATGATTAAGGAAATGTTAACATAGATAGAAGCATACTTTGAGATTGAAATACTGGGCCAAAAAGTAGTAGCTGTTGAAAGATTAATGAGTGGACTTAAAGCCTTTGGCTACCTGGATCTTTAAAGGCCTAAGTCTAAAAGAGGATTTAATTTCGATAACCTTGATATTAAATCAATTAGAATTCTTAATAGGATTACTAATCATTGCTACATTGAGGTTCAAAAGTTTATCAAACAATTTAATATCTTGGTGGGTTAGCTAACTAAAGCCTAGGTTCATTAAATCTATGAGAAGATTATGGAATAAATCGTCTTTAAAGAATGTTTATAAAAAGTACTGATTAAGACAAAAAATAAGGAGGAAAAGTGCTATTTAGTCTAGAAACCAAAATTCTATGCAAAGTTAAAGCAGCTAGGAATTAAGAATAGTGAAATTGAGTATGAAAATTTGAATCAGTTCCTTTGGCTTGACTCCCAGTACCCAGATTTAATTCTGTTCAAGAAACTTATCAAAGCAGTAGAACTAGTCTAAATAAATAGTTATTGTGCTTCTATTGGCACAAAGAGAATAATTTTAGAGGATGCAACAATTGTGGTTAAATAAAAAACAACTAATAAAAGTAATAGTCTCAGGCAATCCCTAGAATAAGCTCAAAATTCCAAATAAATTCAAAATCCAATTGCAGAGGAAGAGAAGGAAGAGGATGGAGAATCTTATTATGATGAGGAAGATGATGCTAAATCTGAGAAAAAATAAAATGATGAGTCTGACTACTTTTGATTATAATTTAAAATATCATTAATTTCAATACTTACTTTCATTACTATCACATCCTCAGGGGTTTTGGGGTTTTGGGGTTTTGGGGTTTTGGGG